GATTTTCAGTTTTTTTCCATATACCAGCAATTAAAAACAAATTCATTTATAGTAACATTCAAAAATATGAAATAGTTAATTGGAAATTTTTAAGGGCATGCATAAAATCTGTATAGGAAACATTGTAATATATTGAAAAGAAAATTAAAGAAAACCTAAATAGATACATATCATATTCATGGATTAAAAGACTCAGTATTAAGATGTTAAATCTCTTCAAACTGACCTATGGATTTAATGCAAACCCATTAACCCGATTTTGAGAGAAACTGACAAGCTCATTCTGATGTCTGTATAAGAATGCAAAGGGCCTAGAACAGCCAAAACAACTTTGAATAAACAAAGCTGGAAGATTTATGGTACCTAATTTAAGGACTACAATATACAACATGAAATAAAACTGTTTTTGGCTCTTCTAGGTCTTTTGCATTTCCAAATTTAAAAGATGGACATATATTGGGTATGTAAAGCAACTGGAATTTTATACATTGCTGGTGGAAATATGAAATGATACAACAGTCTGGTCATTTCTTATATTGTTAAACACACACCATGTGACTTAGCAATTCTCCTCTTAGGTATTTACTCAAGGGAAATAAAAACATGTGTTCAGACTGAGACTCATACTCAAATGTTCATAGCAGCTTTACCCATAGTACCAAAAGCTGAAAACAACCCAGATGTCAATTTATTGGTATAGGGATAAACTGTAGTATACCCATGCAATGTAATACTACCCAGCAATAAAAGAAACCAACTACTGATATATGCAATAGCATAGATGAATCTCAAGAACATTATACTAAGTTAGAGAAGTCAGACGCAACAGTATAATTCTATTTACATGAAATTATTGAATAGTTAAACTAACATATTGAGACCAAAAGCCCAGTGTGGGCTAGAGTTGGGATTGACTACAAATGGGAATGAGGGAATTTTCAGGGTGACAGAAATGTTCTATATCTTTACTGGGGTGTTGATTATACAGTAGTATCCATTTGTCAAAACCTATATAACTGTATACTTAAAGTTGGTGAATTTTATTGTATATAAATCATATCTCGAGATTTAAAAACCTTCAATTAATTCCTATAGCCATTAGGATAAATCCAGTAAGGAATTTACCTAACCCCTACTTACCTCTTTGCTTTATCTTGTGTCAGTCTCTGCCTCACTTTCTGCTCCAGCCACATTGGTCTTCTCTCAATTGTTAGAACATATTATACTCTCTCCCAGCTCTCCACTTTTGCAACTTCTCTTTCCTTGAGTGCTCCCTCTTCCCCCAACTCTTATTCACCCTTAATTCCTTTCTCAAGAAAGCCATCCCCAAAATCTTACACTAGGATAAGACCCCTAGTATATGCTCCAAGGACACTACTACTTTTCACTACACTTTTTATAGTAGGAATTATTTACCTTATTATTGATAATCATGTATAAAGTATGTTTTCCCCCGTGAAGCCAAAGATATCTATTTTGTTCACCACTCTTCCCCCAGTGCCTGACAAATAGGAAATCCTCAAATATTTGCTGATAAAAATCTAAAAATCCTAAATAAAATCTTAGCATATTGATTTTAGCAATATATTTTAAAATATATTAAAAATAAGTAAGGCTTATTTTAGGAAATAAAGGGTAGCTTAGTATTTGAAAGTATTATATAATTTATCTCCTTTGATATATTTTTGTGATGAATTCTCTTCATAGATGGGAAAAGAATTAGATGAAATTCAACACACCTGCAGTTTAAAAAAATACCTCTCAGTGAACTAGAAAAAGGTTCCTATAACACAATAAATCTCTGAAACTAGCATAGTACCTAACAGTATAACCCTGAATACAAGGATACCCTTTGCCCACTAGCAGTCAACATTATTCTAGAAATGCTGGCCAATGCAATATGGCCAGAAAAAAAAAAAACAGAAAATGACAGTTATATTTAGATTATGACTATCTTAAAAACCAAAGATAACTAACTAAAAAACTTTAGTAAGCAGTTTAGTAAGGTGGCCAGTTACAAAATACATTTATACCTATTATTGAAAGAAGTATTTAAAAACAATGCAATATATGCATACAAATAGATCTTATAAAGTCTAGAAAAGTATATGAAGATACTTAAAAAAAAATTTTTTTTTAATTGCAGATCTGGACAGAGTTGGGTCAATTTCTATGGTGGCAACATTGGCAGTAATAAGGAGAAAATGTTTCTAAGCTGAAATAAATATGACTATTAAAAAAAAAAGGGCTTCACATTTTTCTTTTTGTGCCAACACCTTCTGAGTATGTTTAAATCCTTTAAATCTACTGGGTTTCATTCTTGCTCTTACTTAATACCCGTCATAAATCAAAATGCTCTCAATTTTATCAGAGCATTGACTACATGCAGTAATTAGCATTTAAAATCATTATCTGGAAGCCCTTGGGGAAATTTCATAGGTGAGATGCTCCAACTTGAGTCTCCAGCTGACTGTAGGTCAGAAGCACCAAATCACCTTCTATAATTGTACTCAATTGGTAATCTCATCTCGATCCGAACCCTCGGCGGGAGCGCCACCGCGCTCCCAAGCGGTGCACTGTAGCAGTGCGCCGTAGCAGTGCGCCACCGGGCCGGCCTGATACTTAAAAATTTTGCCATGTAAGAAATTAGTATGAAATTGAACATTGGAGAAGCATGATTTAAATAACTGTATTAGGACATTTTGGACAAAGACATTCCAATATGAATTAATATTTAAATGTCAAATTCATCTGAAATTTAACAAATAAGACTATGAAAGTTCAGATGAAAATACACAAAGATAGCTGTGTGAATATGTATGCATAATTAATATTGGACTTAGGAAAGACTTTCCAAGCTTCATCCTAACTACAAAACCATAAAGGAAAAGACTGACATGATCGAAAGCATGAAAATTTTAAATTTATATTGTAAACAAAATTAAAATGCAAATAAGTGATCAACACACTCAAGGTATAATAAAAAACATGATTATTTTTAATTTATAAAGATTTCTTAAAATTAACAAGACACACTGAAGTAGAAAAAAATGGGTAAAAGCTATGAACATATAATCTACAAAGGAAATAGAAGTGGTAAATGAACATGTCAAGATTTCAAATTAACAGGAACTAAAGAAATAAAAATTAAAATATTCTGCCTATCAGATTAAAAATACTTTTAAATGATTAATTATAAGGATTTACAATAAAATTTGTACAGCCAACATTATATTTAGCATTGCAAAATGGAATGCTTTCTCCCTAAAATTAAGAGACAGGGATGTCCATATCATTTCTATTTAGCGGGTATGTAAATACAGATGATGGGAGCAGAAGTTGTCTAGCCCTTCTGGAGCTCAGTTAGTACTTATAAAACACCTTAACATGTAAATTTCCTCTAGAAATCTATCCCCCAAAAACATTAGACAATTGTGCACAAGTGATTTTCAATGTGATTTTCTTTATAATAGAGAAATAGAAGTAATCAAGCAATAGGTGATTGAGAATAATTTGATACATTCATATAATTGAGTACCCATACAGACTTTAAAATGATGTTCTATATATACATCTTTGGATATATATTTGACATCCAAAGATTCACATAAGTAGAAAAAAGTATATATACAGAATGATACCCAATACATATATTCTAAGACATAGTAAAAACAACTTTCTAAGAACATCATCCAAAATGGTAAGTCATCTCTTGCAGGAATTATATATTTCCCCCATTTTTGTATTTTTCCCTGTTGAAGATTCTTTGATGGAAAATAACTCTTTCCTGAAATAGTTCAAATATAGGATGCAAAGGGATGGGCTGGTAGATTATGTACTTATATTAACGTTGTGATTGTTTTAAGTATATTGGGCATGGTATAAACTTTAGGTTCTAAAGGACTGGATGGATTAGCTCTTAGATCAGTGTTTCTCAAAGTGCATTCCAGAGACCAACCCCATCAGGAGCATCTGGTAGGCTTGTTAAAAGTTCGGTTTCTTTGGCTCCACCCTAGCTCTACTGAACCAAAATCACTGGAGGTGGGACCTAGGATTGGCATTTTAAACAAACTCCCAAGGAGATTCTTTTACACACTGATATTTGAGAATTTCTGTGATCGTCCCTTTGATCTGCCCTTTAAAGCTAGAGGGAAGACAATTCAAGGTGGTTCTTGCAGAGGGAAAAGGCTGCCCAGTTTTCACAGCAACAGTTTAGGTGAACCTTCCTTTTCCTGTGTTTCAGCAAGCTGGCTTCTTCACCTATTATGTTTGCACATATAGTTAAATCTACTTCTCGACTTTATTCTTTTCTGTCAACTTTTTTCTTCTTTAAATTTGGGTGCCAAAATTATCTATGAATATCATTGTATATTATATCTAATAGGACTAGATACTAACAAGTTTATTATTTTCCATGGCAGACACTTTTTAGGCTCCTCCAATTAGAGTAAATTTAAGTGGCAAAATGTCATTCAAATCAGCTTTCTCATAACTAAAAGATTGTAGACTATTCAGAATCAGAACCTTTTCAGGGTCAGTTATCTTAACCAGCCTAGATATAGAATATAACAGGGAAAATGGCAATGTAGGTACAATCTGTCCCAGAACCAGATGTTTGTATTATGTGTTTAAGCATCTATAGGGTTAGTCTGTCATGCAAACATTCATTAGAGTTCTCAACCAGCAGATCCATGAATGAAATTCACAACCCAATTTCCATAATAGTTGGGTCCTAAGATAACCTTTTTTTTTTTGACTGGTAAGGGGATCGCAACCCACAGCATGTTGTTTTCTGCACCACGCTAAGCCAGTGAGCACACCGGCCATCCCTATATAGGATCCGAACCCGCGGCCTAGGTGCTACCAGCGCCGCACTCTCCTGAGTGAGCCACGGGGCCGGCCCCTAAGATAACTTTTCTTAAAAGGAGATAGTGATTGTTTCCCTTTCCATGGTTTGCATTTGCCCTGGCACACCCTTTCCCCTCAAAAGTAGGCCTTACCGGCATGGTGATCTGGATGGGTTGCCGTTCTCCACTCTTGGTTGGGGCCACACCTTCTGTGTCATATGTGCCTGTGTAAACAATTCTGTCCCCATCAGGCTCTTTAGACTTCAGCTCCAGCGGGACAAGCACACCACCAATGGAAATGTTCCTGTAATGGACTTGAGTTAACCATATATGGTAGGAATTAGCTTAGGCATCCTGTCCTGGTCTGAACCAAAACCCTAGGCAGGAAACCTACAGGGTTTGGCTCCGGGAGACATTGTGGTATGGTAGAAAGCTTTGGAAGTTCAACAGGCTTGAATTCAAAAACTAACCAATCATGTGCCCTAGACCAACTACTTAATTTCTCTGGACTGACCTCAGTATTCTCATCCAAATTCCTTCTACAAGTCCAAGTTGGACTCTATCAGTGGTCTCCTCTTTACTCATTAAAATCATCCGTGGAGCTATTAAAAACCTATCTATACCCTAGCCGTATCCCAAAATTCAGATATTAGGATTCGATTAGTCTAGGATATAGTTTGGGCACAGGCAAGTTTATTTTAAGGTTATCTAGGTTTTTCTAATGTTCAGGTAGAGTGGACTAGTTTCTAGTTTCTAATTTTTTTTCTGTTCCAACAGCCAGGGGTCCTGATTTGGGATATTCTTCCTCAGGCCTGCCACACCACCAGAAATTCTCACTGGCATCATTTCTCTGTGTATGGATAATGGTTCTCAAAGCGAAGTCCCTGGACCAGTAGTATCAGTATCACCTACAGCCCTATTAGAAAGCAAATTCCTAGGCCCCCACCCTAGACATAGTAAATCAGAACCTCTGGAATAGGCCCTAACAGTTTGTGACAAACTCTCGAGGTGATTCTGATGTACACTCAGGTTTGAGAACCACGGGGTTATGGCATTGAAAAAAATCCTTATAAAATTTAAACTGTAACTAGAAAAAAATAGTTTTTAACAAATTAGTGTTTATATTACATTAAAAACAAGAGAACTACACTGAAGAAAATAGAATATAGAGCAGATAACAGAGGAGAACAGATTGCCAGGAAGAAGGGAAAGGAAAAGCCTTGATTATATCCAGGTGCACAGAACACTGGGAAACGTGAGGGTAATGGGTGCATGGGGCTGTGGGGGGTGCTGACCATAGAGAGCCTAGGAGTACGAGAAACCATCCAGGTTTGTTTGGTTGTAGGTCCTTGCATTAGGGCCTGGCACCGGCTTAACACAAGCTTATGGAATCAAAACTTGAGCTGTAAAAGGTGTCTGATGGATTCAAAGCCTCCTGCCTCCCCTCAATAACGCCCCGCATATGGTAGATACAATACTTATGTACCATACGTGGATTTATGGTTTATTTCCTCCTCCTAGACTAGACTTCACATAGTGTTTAGGTGGAAACTGGGAGGGAAAGGACCCCGCTCATGGATTCTCCCCTGCAGGCCACCGCAGGCTCCCACGGACTTTCCCGCCAGTGGTCTAGTGGGCGCGTCATCCTGTGGTGGCTGGATGATAATCCCTGCCACGCATAAACCAAAAATCATTCTCTTGAGGTGAGAATGTTGCGCATCGCAGGCACCATCACCAGGTTGAACAGACAATTCAGGAGAAAAAGAAAAGCACAAGGCACGGAAAACCGTGAAACTAGGCCTGAGCAGAGGCGGCTGCCCTCTGACTTGTGCCTGGGTGGGGGGCCGGCCACGAAAGGGCGGACGGAGGAGCGGAGAGCACCCCTCAGGGAGCCCCCGTAACCCCCCCTCCCCCGCCTGTACAGCTCGTTCCTCAGCCCTTCTCCCTGCTTCAGCCTCGCGGGCAGAACCCGGCGGGAGGCCAGGACCCAGCCCAGGAGGGCTGGGGTGGCGGTAGGTGAGGCCTGCGGCCACCTCCTGCCCTCTGCCCCATCCCGGCCGCCTGCGGTTCCGCGCCCGTGGCTGGACAGAAGGGATGAGAAATTTGCAAGAAAACAGCAAAACCCTGGCTTCTTGTCGCCAATTTAACCCGACGCACTGAGGTCACCGCGATGGGTGGAGGGAAGTGAGACTAGTATAAGAGTAAGGTAGAGGAGGGGACGAAGCGGACCAGGGAGCTGGCCTGTCCCCTGCAGCGCGGGCCCGCGGGGCGCGGCGCGAGGCTGTCCCGGGGGCCCGGTCCTCCGCCCTTCCCACGCGGGGCCCTGCGGCCCGGCGCGCCCGC